TCTGTCCTCTAATGATGTTAAAGAGACATTGATGTTGTGGTGGCACAGGGGCAAAGCACAACCCATGTATTGAGGCCTTAGTCCTCATGCTGGTGGTCACAGGTTCAATTCCCAGCCTGGTGACATTTGCTGCGTGTCTTCTTCCTCTTTCCTGTCAATCTACTTTCAAATAAAGGCCACTAGAGACAGGAAGTTAGATTGTAGCTGCAGGACAGAAGACGCCTCCTGCTGTCTCCAAACCACACAAACATCTACAGAGATTTATTCCTCCTGGTTCACTGAAGGCTTTGTCTTTGAAGATCTGACATGTGAAGCAGGATGGGAGCAACATGGAGGAAACTGTTATTATTTCAACACCACTAAATCCTCCTGGACTGACAGCAGACGTTCCTGCGCTGATCTGGGATCAGACCTGGTGAAGATCGACAGCAGAGAGGAGCAGGTATGAAACTCTGCTGCAGGTTCAGCTTCTCTCTGGTTTCATCTCAGCATCATGATTCTTCATCTCAGTCAAGAAAGGTATCATTTTCATCAACTTTCCTGTTCAGATGTTCTTGTTAGGAAGACTGAGTGTGTTGATGCAACACGCTGATGATTTGTTCTGGGTTGGACTGACCGACTCAGTGGAAGAAGGCAAGTGGTTCTGGGTTGATGGATCACCTCTGGATGAAAGGTTTGACTGCTGGGAATATACTTTGGTCTGTTTGAACAATTAATTCTCGGGCTTTATATCACTTGTTCTGTTTTTCGTCTTAGTTTGGGTTTTTGGAAATTCTCGCCACCAGACAACCGTGGTGTGAACGGTGCTATTGGAGCAGACTGTGCGAGGCTGGGGCAGACAGCAGCAGACAGAAACTGTGATAATCCTCAGAAAAGCATCTGTGAGAAAACAACAGGAGCTGTAAAAGCTGGTGTGTGAAATTCTTTTCAGGCTCTTAAACAAGTCCAAGACCAAGAGATGATCATATCAGATGTAATCTTCCCTTCTTCTGATAATGAAAGAGATACAACATTTGAAGTATTCTTAAAAATCAGCACTGTGTAGCAGAAGATACTCCACTTCTCCACCACGGTCTGAAAACAGGTCTGTTTGGTTAACTAAAGAATGTAAATTGACCTGATTTGTGTTTGAATCATATCACCCTGCAACTCTGAAGGCCCTAAAGCAACTCAGCGGACACCAAAGTAAAAAAATAACAGATTTCTCATTAAAATGTTATTTTATCTCAAAACCTAGCAAACTCTCAGAAAGGCAGTTCTGGCATCTAGTGGTCTCAGTGTAAACAACCAAGAGTTTTCTGTGTCATTGTATAATCTAATCACAGTCGTCCCTGCAGCCATGCACACTCCCACTGGTACGGATGTGTTTTGGTATATTTGGTATCTCGTTTTGATCCTAACCCTCGTCTTGCTGATATGTGCAAATTGTTTCCTAACCCTTTCCTATGTTGAAGAGCTGTTCAAACTGGGACAATGTAATAACTCTGATATGTAAAAGCTCCAGGTTCTGGTTGATAATTTAGCCAAAATTATTAGTTGGTAGATTCATTCTACCAACCTTACATGGGGAAAAATAAAATCTGTGCACTTTAAATACATTTTTCTCTACTGTCATTATTTGACAAAATAACACACAAAAATGAAATTTAAAATACATTTAAAAAAAAACTTGGGCTGCACAGTGGCCCAGTTGGTAGAGCTGTTGCCTTGCAGCCAGAGGGTTCTGGGTTCAATTCCCAGCCCTGGTCTTTCTGCAGGGAGTTTGCATGTTCTCTCTGTGCATGGTGGGTTTTCTCCAGGTACTCCAGCTTCCTCCCACAGTCCAAAAACATGACTGCTCATGAGACAACAACCCACAGAAAAACCAAGATAAATGAATAACAAGCAGATTTATATGTTTTCAGCTGACTTTTTGTATTGGATTATCTGTCAGGATCTATGTAAGTATCAATGTTTTTGGTGTGCAAGTGTGTGATTTTAAAAGATCTTCACTGGAGATGAGCTCCACCTGTTGCTGCCTACACACCTGTTAGTAATTAGAGGTCTTCGTTTGGCTGCCATGCTTAAGCTGCTGACAAACGACTGTCCATTGTCTTATGCTAACTATTCTAGTAGAGCCAACTGACCCTGCTACGATTTTTATCCGTCTCATCCATTCCTGGACTTGCCTCTGGTGTCTTTCCTTTCTTAGATGACACACAAAATGAAGATATGGGAAAATTAAAGATAATCTTGATATTGATTTTGATCAAACTGAAGATTGTGTAAGAATGTCAGGAGAAATGAGTGGAAAAAAATACGGTAAAGATTTCAAAGATCAACTCCCTATGAATAGATTCAGTGACGATGCTGTGAAAATGAATAACAGGCAGAGACGGCAGGTAACCTTATTTACTTGGCCTCGTACACAACCAGATTTGAGTTTTGTTGTAAATAAGCTATTGCAGCCCTTCAGAGCCAGCTGTGGAGTACTGGACTACTGTGAAACATGCTCTGAGATAACTGAAGCAAACAGGAGACAAAACTTTGAGCTGCAGGAAAAGTGACAAAGCTCTGAACCGATCCGGTGTTACAGCTAAGGGTTAATTCACAGTGTCCGGCTCCGCTCCACCGCAGGGCGTCCTCTGCAGTAAATATGCACCCATATAGTCAGTGAGGGCATTTACACTGTGTGCATATGGCACATATTCCAGCCTTTACTTTAGTGTTTGTAGTGTTTATGATGTTCCAATGTTTGCCATGATCTGATCAATAAGCCAGTAAACAGAAATCATATTTCCTGTTCGGTAGTTTATGAGCTGCATCAGAGAACATCATATCTCTGGGCTGAGTGTCTTCCTGTTCCTGGTAGCTGTCCACTTCAAGTTCATGTACAGGTCCAGGTTTGTTTTAGGCACTAAAAGTTCTCTGGCTCTAATGCTCAAATCAACTAGTTACTGATTTTAGACATTTCATAGGAAATTTTATAACGTCCTCCTCCACTCTAATTTTCTTTTAGATTATGTAAATGGTCTTATCGTTTGGTCATGTGATCTCACATAGACCTCTACAGTGTCGTTAACCGGTATGATAGAGACTCAGGACCAATCTGAAGGACCATCTATAAAAATGTTATGGTCCAGTGAAACCAGAACATTTGTGCTGGTTACGGGAGTTTATATCTCCGGTAATCAGAGTCTCTTACACCGGAGTGAAAGTTTTCAGGAACGTCTCCCACAGAGGTGTGAAGTACTCTGCTGGTGTAAAAGCGCAAATGCAGGGTTTGTTCGATGGGTAGACAACAGCAAAAACAATGGTGGGTCGCATGTACTCTGTTGTCCCACTTACACCAGTTACATTTAGCACAACTTCTGATCAGTATAAATATATTGGCTCATTGCAGATGGACTACTGTTTTCTGAAAGAGGTGGAAGCTAAGGATCAAAAGCATTTGCGTGTTTTGACTACATTCTAAAATCACAGCGCCATCTAGTGCCCTGGCATGACAATTACAGCCAATTTAAGGTGTTGTGGTGATGCTGTATAAATGTGGAACTTTTTGGAACAGATATCTGAAAACACCAGTTTCCTGACAGCGGTGTCGTGTAAACGTAGCCTAAGTGTTACGTTCCAGAACGAATCAGGATCAAAGCTGTCTGATTTATAAAGACAACCCTCTTTGGCGCTAAGCTATGCAGTGATTTATAAACTAACAGAAGTATTTTAGTCGATTTTCTGAGCTACTGTTGACTGAAGCTGCTTGTGTTGATTCTAGATCTATAACTATAGATCTATAACTCTAGGTCGTTCCTCTTTAGGTCTAAAGATAACTCCAGTTTTGTTTCTGGTCAGCTGGAGAAAGTTTTGGCACATTCACACATTGATCTGTTCAGTGATTGGACAGTTTTCGATTTACCTGGTGACATCGTAATGTAGAGCTGTGTCTCTCATCTGCATAGCTGTGACAATTCATTGTATTTCTTGTTATAACCTGAAGTAGCAGGAGCACAAACCTGTTGAATAGAAGACGTCCAAAGATTGGACCTTGAGGGACTCCACATGTGACTTCTGTCCACTCCGAAGTCACAAACAAAACACTTACATGTTCAGTCAGTATGAGCACGTCTAGATTGAATAAACTGGATGTGAAATGATCAAACACTGACAATATCAAAAAGTGGGTCTGTGGTTCTGTGGTGACCGGTGGGGGATGAGCTCAACTAGAACTTGGGCCTCATGCATCATCGGACCGACTCTGTGTGTACATTAAGAGCACAAACAGATCTCTGAACTAAAACATCAAATATTTACTCTGAAAACAACAAAAAGTCTGAAATTTCAAAAAGAAAACAGACAGCAGGTCCTGATATTATAACAAATAAAAATGTAAATGATTATTAATGTGATGGGAGGTTATTAATGCAGAATCTGTTTAAGCTTTAATGAAATAAAAACAGAAGCATTTGGGAGGAGGCTGCAGATGAAGAAGATCTTTAATCAAGATCAACAGGAAGTTTCATTAGATATGAAGTGATAGGTATTTTTCTCGAACCTACATAAAAAGACCACAGACAACGTATATGAATTTTATAGACAAAGCTTTTGCAAAAGGAGAACTTTCCATCAACAACCTCATCAGCCGTTCACAGAAAGTTCTGATCTCCTTCCACGTGAGCTCCTGTTTTATTGTCAAGCAGAACAACCAAAAAGGGGCAGTCAGGAAGAACAACAAAGGTCGTAAAACTTCTAACCTAAACAAACCAGCAACTCAGTTCCAGGTGTGATATCTGATCTACGATCTGAGCCCAGTTCAGCTCTAGGTCAAACTGTCAACAAAGAGGGAGGATAAACAAGAGACAAAATACGACTGCTCACAGGCAGTTAGGAGGTATTCTGGTTGATAAGAATTAAGGTCTGGGAAACACAGAGTTAACTGTTTCACATGAAGATGAAACAGACAGTCCTAACCTCCAGGTCAGTTTATACACACATAAGGAAGAGAACACTTTAAACAGAAAATCACAATAATACTGATTAACATTAGACTGAATATGAACTAAAGTAATAATGATAATACCAAAAAATATCTAACATGAAGCATGAAGATGTTCNGAAANAAGTCATTCTGTTCCGCCTGCAGAGGACAGAGACACATTCATGGTGAGTTTTAACTTTTCTAACTAACGAATGCACAAAGATACAAAACTTTGTCACTTTATATGAAATAAGCTCAGATTTAAGTATAAAACATTTGATAAAATATGCAGCCTTTTTAACTCTGAAGGATATTTTATTGACCAAATGAGTGAAAAAAGACGAGAATAAAAGTCGTTCCGCTGTTTTAGCTTTACTGAAAACTTCCTGGAGACGCACAAAGCATTCACATTCATCAATCATTTGTAATAAATCCACTAACCTTTTGAAATGAACTGTGAAATAATAAAATTAATAACAATAAAATGTAAAAACAATGTTTTTGGTTCTCAGATAGTTGAACAGAAGCGTCTGCATGATGAGCCGAACACAAAACAGTGAAGAAGGTCAGAACATCAGATCAGATGTTAGTTTCTGAGTCTGTCTCCAGGTTCTGATCCGGTTCTGATCCAAATGCTCCTCAGGTGAAAACCCAAGCAGAACCTCCAAGCTGCCAGCAGGGGGAGTAGTTCTGCTGGTTCTGGTCGGTCTGCTGGCTGCTGCTGTTTTTGTCATCTTCAGACTCTGTGAGTTCATCCTGATGGATCATTTTTCCACTGACTTTAATTCTGAAGGTCAAAACAGAAACTAGATGATCTGTATGAAGATCTTCACCCTGAATGAATGTTGTCTTCTGCTGTTTTCTTGTTTTTTCCTTCAGCGTTTGTCATGCTGGAGACCAGAGAAAGCTTCCAAACCCTGAAAGAGGAGATTGAAGCTCTGGGGAAAAATATCTCAGGTGAGACTGTTGGGTTGAAGGATGTCCACAAGGTTCAGGTGACATTCAGACGGTGTTTGGAGAGGAGCTTTCTACTTCGCAGTTCATCTCACTTTCTGCTGTCAAAGCAGCCCCAAAATATTTGACTCTATCAGAAGCTCTATTCTGGATTTTTATTAACAAGCTTCCTTACATGATCATCCCTGATCGTGACTTCCCATCTTGTCCTGCTCGTTATGGGTTCAGTTTCTTTTCTCCGGAAAGCTCCTTTGAGTTCAGGCGTCTCTCCCGAACATTATATCGGACATTTTTTCTGTATAGGAGCCGCTTCCACTGCATCCAGCCAGGGTATCTCTGACCAGACAGTTCAAGCTTTAGTTTGCAGGTTATTCCAGGTGTAACATTCCTACATCCACAATAATCCCAGTGATTTACTCCATGCACACACTTGCCTCTGTTCAATTTAATCCAGAATCTTTTGGGGTCCTGTGTGGGCTCAGGAAAATAAAATGAAATTAATTTCTGCTAAAGCTCCACCCCCATACTGATGATGACGGTTGCCACCATCATCACCATAGTATCCCAAAACTTTCCAGCATCTTCTACAACAGCGGCAACATTCCAGGCAACCAAAAACATTAAATTCAGCAAAGCCGATTGCCCAGATGAATAGAATATATAATAATATAATATATAATATAATATATAATATATAATAGATAATAGAATAATAATAATAGTAATTTAGCTCCACTAGAGGGTGGCAGTGTCATAGAAAAGAACTGACTGGATTCTGTCTGGGGAAATTCAGAGAATGAGGATACATATAGGCACACATTACTAAGGAAAGCGGACTAATGCAACTTTTTAATTATGTTTATAGATAATTTTTAGATTTTTTATTGGACCAGACTCCACAGCAATGGATCCATTTGATTTGTCTCTGCATGTCCACACTTATTATATTATAAACATCTATGTAATTAATAAAAGTCGTGTTACATGTTCGATTGTTGGAACATTAGTTATACATTTGATGTTTGTACTGAAGTTCACCAACAAGAAGTCAAACTGTGAACATGTTTGTTCATCAGTTCAACTTTAGAAGAAGAAAATGACTGACTGAGGTCAAAACTGTTTTTATTTCTCTAACAGAGCTAATGTCGACTCAGCAGTCATCATGTCCTCCACCTCCTGAAGCAAAAAGTAAGTCCATGATCTGATCTTTGTCTCATTTCTGTCCTGTAATGATGTTAAAGAGACATTGATGGACTGACAGAGACAGGAAGTTAGATTGTAGCTGCAGGACAGAAGACGCCTCCTGCTGTCTCCAAACCACACAAACATCTACAGAGATTTATTCCTCCTGGTTCACTGAAGGCTTTGTTCTGATCTGTTTGAAGATGAATGTCTGAAGAAAAGACCAGAATGGGAGAAATATCAAGGAAGCCTTTATTATTTCTCCAGCCAGATGTCTTCTTGGAATAAGAGCAGACGTTCCTGCACTGATCTGGGATCAGACCTGGTGAAGATCGACAGCAGAGAGGAGCAGGTATGAAACTCTGCTGCAGGTTCAGCTTCTCTCTGCATCATGTTTCTTCATCGCAACACAAATTCATTTTAATCAACTTCTCCTGTTCAGGTGTTCCTGGAGAGCAGACTGAGAGACTTGATGGAGAACCAATATGACAAGTTCTGGATCGGACTGACGGACTCAGAGGAAGAAGGGAAATGGCTCTGGGTGGACGGATCTCCTCTGAATAAAAGGTTTGGAAACATTTTGATCTTTATCAAAACTCAAATGCTTCTACTGAACTTTGCTGCTCTTTGTCTCTCAGTTTAAGTTTTTGGATGTCCTGGGAGCCTGATGACTGGAAGGTGACGTATTCAGCTGGAGAGGACTGTGCAGCGTTTGGGATCAAAGAAGTAGCTGATGATCTGATACGTTGGTTTGATCAGTTCTGTGGTCTTCCTCGGAGAAGCATCTGTGAGAAACCAGCGGAGAGGCTCAGTGACACGCAGCATTAGATGCAGCTGGAATCATTTATAAAATCTCTTCAAAATATGTTTTTTTAGAACAAACCCTTCTGACCTTTCAGAATCTAATCTGATCTTTATTCTTCCTCATCATCAGCTCCTAAAACAACATGGCCGAATAAAACAGAAACAATTTCAAACCTTAAACTCTCCTTTGCTCTTTTTTTTCCCCACACCTTCAACCAATTTTAGGGGATTTTTACTCATGATTTAAAATGCATACTTTGTTTTTTACTCAGTGTTTCAGCTACAAAATCCGACACTGTTTTAACTTCAACAGTGATTTAGGCTGTTATTTCAGGAGGTGGGAATAACAAAGTTCCTGCAGTGAGAAAATATTCAAAACAAACTTAAAGACCAACGAGGGCAGCGCATCCACATCTGCATTTCTCAGGGTAATAAAACTTTAGTAAAGCCAATTTAAATACAGAGATGTACAGTACATGACATTATTACACAGAATAGTTTGTTTTTATCTAATAGAAATAAAAATAACTCAATAGGAAGATTATTCAGCATAAAGCTGTGAAAGATGAAGGTGAAGATATTCTATCTGAAAGGCGCCAAGAGGAAGACAGCAAAACATTTTTGGTAACACTTTATTTAAAGGGGTGTGCATAAGACAGACATGACACTGTCATAAACATGACATAACACCTGTCATGAACATAAACGAGTCTTTATGAATGTTTATGACTGTTGTCATGAAGTGTCGTTCGGTAAATTATGACACTTTTAATGCAAAGTTGCTCTAAAAGTTCATTAAAAGTGCCAACTTTGCATGATTTTGTAAATTATGATAATTTAATGCAAAGCTGAAGCAAATCTGCTCTTAAAGTAAACATATATGCTCTTGATTTTTGGCTGGTAAATTTCCCCACACACTACACCAGGAACATTGAGCTCTGCAGAGAGAAACAGCATTGGAAATATCTTCATATCCCTGAGATGTTTAATCAAGTTACAAACACAAACTAAAAGTTGTTTTTCTGGTCCTCCACATAAAATTCACTGGAAGTGAAAGAAAAAGGATAAACTGCAAAAGTAGAAAATCGTATTAATATTTTTGTCCAGTTTCTTGTACAAATGTCTTAGTACACTTGAAATAAGATAAAATTAAATTACTAGTAACTTTTCAAGGAAATATTCCTATTTCTATTTCTTGCTGACTTTGTGTTTTTGCAGTGTACATGATTCTTTGATCATTTGAGGCATGTGTTGTTTTTTAATAAGTTTTTTGCATGTTTTTTATTTACTCATGTTCTTTATTTGCTTTATATTTTTATTTGCAGATTGTAATTAGAGCATCTTTGAAAATCAATTTTTGAGTCTAACTACAGATTCTCAGTTGGATTTATGTCTGGACTTTGACTAGACCATTCTAAACCATCCATTGTGTCTCTGGCTGGATGTCAACGGTGGTTGTTCTGCTGGAAGGTGAACTTCCGCTCAGGTCTTGCAGCCAAAAAATATTCTTGTTCTTCTACTAATTAATAGAACTGAACACCTGGGATCCACAGAGGTTCTGGTCACAGACAGTGAATCTGCCTCCAGTCACAACTTCACATGTATTGAAGCTGAAATTGAAACAAAGTGTGTAAACCATTAGCTATGGGACTGGTTTCTTCAGGGTTCATGATGGATCAACAAATCTTCTGCTCTTCAGGTTTGGACTTGATCTCAGATGCTTCTGAGTAAACTAGTTCATTTAAAACCTTCTGATTGGTTAATGATGTTAACAGGCTCATTACCATGACAACGAGTTATTGATGCCAAAGGTTTCCATTGGCCGGTTGGATCAATCAGAACAACCAAGAATCCTCAGACTGATTTATTGACAGAAAACTGGAAAAACAAAATTTTCCTTTATTCAATAAACACCAAAAATATCCAATCTTTAAATATTAAATTAGTCTGATTTTATTAAAAATGTTTTCCTGGTTAAAATGCAGATGTTGCATCATTAACACTAACTTGTCTTTCTGCAGTCGTTCAAACTGTTCTGTTTTCTGTTACTTCTGTAACTTTCATGATCTTCATGTTGAGAAGAAACATGTAACATAAACATGTTCATAAATACTGACTAACTCAAGGTTTTTTTAATCAGTCATTCAGACCAATCAGACTCTCCAAACCCTGAAAGAAGAGAAAGAAACTCTGAGGAGAAATCTCTCAGGTGAGCTTAAATGTTAGCTCAAGGTTCAGACTGTCAGATTTTTAAATTTAAAAANTCCACTTTCATATTATTTCTATCAGCTTTAGTTATTTTCTGATCTGCAGCAGCAGCAGACCACCAAGAGAAAAACTCAGAAGCTCTGAGTGACCAAATATTATCAGCCTCCAGAGCAGCAGCTGCTGATGTAACTGTGAGGATTATGAATAAATAAACTACAGAACTGAGACTCTGTCTGGTTTTTGGATGGACAACTTTAAGTTGTTCTTTATTTTGTTTATTGATCATAATAACCAAATGAACATGATGTGATGGATTCAACAGAAACATTCAGGATTTAATACTAAAATCCTCAAACTTCACACGTCTGGATCCACCTGAACTAATCATTAGTTTACTTTCAGAGAATCAATAAGAGGAAATATTACAGATGTAGGTCTTCGCATGTTGAGAGAAAAAAGTTTAATGAAGAAACTGATGCAAAAATAAACATCTGCAAAATGATTCATGTGTTCATGAAATCATCGGGGTCAGACATGAATTCAACTGAATTTCAAAAGGTTCAGTGTTTCTATCTGAGTCTTAAATTAATCATCACTTTTACAAACATCTAAATAAAGAAGTTAGGCAGTAGATCCTCCTCCTTCCTTTCGGTCGAACAGGAAGTTCCTTCAACACCGAGCTGTGAAACAGGAAGGAGACGATCTTTGAAACATTCACAGAGGAGAGACTCACTGATGGTGAGTTTAGATTATTTTTTGTCCAACAAGCATTGAAAGTCTTAATTAAATCAGGAAATATTAGATTTTTACTTTAAACATTTAAAATGTTAGCTTTAGAAATAATGTCAGTTTCTGGCTCATTGTGAGTTGCTTCTTCTAGTGTATAAAACACTAAATTTTTATCATTTTTACTTATTTTGACTGAACTAAAGAGAAAGACATGAAAAGAAATCGTCTTTGTCTCTGTCCTCAGTGTGAAGTATCTCCATGATGAGACGTCCACTGTCCTGTGAAGACGGTAAGGTCATGGATAAGGTCGTCTGATGGTCTGGTTTTTGTAAACAGTTTGGATTTAAACTAAAACACTTACAGGCAAAACTGTCAGGAAAAAGTGCAGCTTGTTGAGTTTAAGAAGCTGTTTATTTATTGTGACAGCAGAAGATCACAGATATATTTCTCTCTGTTAGCAGCGTCTGCCTTCATTTAATGAACTGCATGTCTCTAAATGCCACACAGTTCCCAAACAAAAATCCTTGATCATCCGAAATGTTTGAAAATGTCACTGATTGGTTCAGATCATTTTGTTATTCAGAGAGTTATGGACATCGGACAGTTATTTTATTGTTTAATATATAATTATATGCTCAGTGGCAAAGAATCATAAACAGTGTGTGTGTGTGTGTGTGTGTGTGTGTGTGTGTGTGTGTGTGTGTGTGTGTGTGTGTGTGTGTGTGTGTGTGTGTGTGTGTGTGACTCAAGTGGATTGTTTATGCTCCTCCACTGATTCCTATCAGATTGCAACACTGACTAACAAGATGATAAAATGACAAGCTGCTATTCTGATCTCTTAACCCTTCTAGGACTGCCATTATAAAAGTCCACGTCTTACAGGAAGTGTTGCACCTTGCTACAAATATCCACAGCTCAGAGTTCGAGTTTTCACTCAAACAAGCATCACTCTATATTCTTAGACAAAGAGGGGAAAAGTTCAACTTTCTGTGTGCTGTAATAATGTTTCAGTGATCATAACACACTCAGAGTTTCTGTTCTGTCCTCTGGTCCTGTTTATGAAGCTCTAGATCTGCTGTCGTATTTCTGACATCAAAGTTTTTTACCACCAGTGAAATTGCAGAGGATCCCCTGAATTTAAGATATTTAAGCTCAGAAAAGCACGAGCAGAAACTAAATTAATTAAACAGAAAAAGTCTGGAGGAATGAGGAAGAAAAATCCTTGAAACGAATATAATCTCTGAGGGACACAGACACAGTGGACTGGTATCGCCATGGAAACAACATTTCTGTCTCGTTCTTAAAGGTTTTATGGTGCTAACCCTAAACAAACCAAATGAACACAGATGTAAAGTTTTTATGAGTTTTGCTGAAGATAAACTTAAGACACATTTTTCAAATCTTTAACTGATTAGTGACTAAATTTATTACCACTGAAGGTGAAAAACATAGAATGACTAAACCTACTTTGCAGCAAAGTGAGATTTATGGAGAAGTAGGAATTGTTTTTGTTTTTTTCATTAACATGAAAACACGTATTTTCTTGTTTTGTTGTTTCCTTTGGTCGGAAATGAACTAAATGTTTGTGAAAAATAGTGTGAATGAGAACAGATCAGTATCAGTCAAATGTTAAACAAGTTTCAGCTCCTCTAACAGATATAAATGATCCTTCATGATCTCATCAAAAACAACTCTAAAGGGACAGTGTTATGTAAGGGTGACGTTTTTAGCTTTACACCGTGTTATAAAGCTCATCCCTCATCAAAAACACACCAGGAGTTTTACCTTGATTCTTTCATGCATGTTTGAGAAAACTTTTAATCTCCATGGCAACCATTCAACTATGCAAAACACTTGGATGGACTTAGCCCCGCCTTTGAGGCTCAGCTTCTGCTTAGAACTGCAGTTTCTCATACAGCAGCCCTCTGTCACGCAGCTCCTGCAGACTAGCCAGCAGCAATTAGCAACAATCTGCTAATAGGAGCTACTTCTCAGAGCAATGCTGGTAGAAACGTCGTTAAAGGGTTAATAGAGGAGCCATGTTGGGGTGACTTCCTGAAGACGGAGTTTCAGACAGAGCAGGAGTTTTTAAAGAGACACATTCCCAGTTTCAAGGCCAGTTTCATAATTAACTTCATTAAATTACGAAGCAAATTTTCTTTTAAATTATTTTTGACATATAGAGTATTTTATCACTGATGGTAGTATAGCTACATAATTGTGCTAAAAAT